TGAGTCAGCCTGTACTCTGCACAGGACTGTGAGTGAGGTAGCCTGCACCCTGCACAGGACTGTGAGTGAGTCAGCCTGTACTCTGTACAGGACTGTGAGTGAGTCAGCCTGTACTCTGTACAGGACTGTGAGTGAGTCAGCCTGTACTCTGTACAGGACTGTGAGTGAGTCAGCCTGTACTCTGTACAGGACTGTGAGTGAGGCAGCTTGTACTCTGTACAGGACTGTGAGTGAGGCAGCCTGCACTCTGTACAGGACTGTGAGTGAGGCAGCCTGCACTCTGTACAGGACTGTGAGTGAGTCAGCCTGTACTCTGTACAGGACTGTGAGTGAGTCAGCCTGTACTCTGCACAGGACTGTGAGTGAGGCAGCCTGCACTCTGTACAGGACTGTGAGTGAGTCAGCCTGTACTCTGCACAGGACTGTGAGTGAGTCAGCCTGTACTCTGCACAGGACTGTGAGTGAGGCAGCCTGCACTCTGTACAGGACTGTGAGTGAGTCAGCCTGTACTCTGCACAGGACTGTGAGTGAGTCAGCCTGTACTCTGCACAGGACTGTGAGTGAGGCAGCCTGCACTCTGCACAGGACTGTGAGTGAGTCAGCCTGTACTCTGCACAGGACTGTGAGTGAGGCAGCCTGCACCCTGCACGCGTCTGTGAGGCAGCCTGCACCCTGCACGCGTCTGTGAGGCAGCCTGCACCCTGCACGCGTCTGTGAGTCAGCCTGCACCCTGCACGCGTCTGTGAGTCAGCCTGTCTGTTGCACAAACAACAGGGCTCCATCAAGGAACATATAATCTCCTCACACAACCAGACCATCACCAGAGAAATCTTAACAAGCAACACAGAAATTATCGACTGATACAACGATAACAGGAGACTCGACATCAGCGAGGCACTACACATCAAAAAGTCAACACCAGCAATCAACAGCCATTTAACACATAATTACATTCTACCCACTTCAAGACCCTGAACCAGCACAGAAGCAAGAAGATAAAACACTCAATATACCCATTGTTTCGTGTTGTCTTTTTCCATTGATTTGTGACCTGTCACCTCAACCAAAATTTTTTGTATCCTATCACCTCATCCACAAACTAATATAAGCGTGATCTGAGTATGTAAAATTTAATTTGAAAATGTAAGAAGTGTTGTTGCGAAACTCTTCTAGGCGTTAGACCATGAATAAAGTGTGAAAATGAACTTTGGAGAGTTAATTTTTCAACTACCCTCCGACAATGAAATAAAAACATGAGAAATATTGAGAAGATTCGGTTTAGAATCATAAATCTTACCCTTTCGGTCATATACAACAACGTACATATATACATACATACTGGACCCTGGAGCTGAGGTTCTCGGAATGTTTTCGAGTTGTGAAAAGTTACTTGTCTCCATGATATTATCTGGGGTCGTTTGGGAGTCGTACATCACCCAACACATCTCAGGTCGTCTGAGAGTCGTTCATCACCTAACACATCTCAGGTCGTCTGGGAGTCGTACGTCACCCAACACATCTCAGGTCGTCTGAGAGTCGTACAACACCCAACACATCTCAGGTCGTCTGGGAGTCGTTAATCACCCAATACATCTCAGGTCGTCTGGGAGTCGTTCATCACCCAACACATCTCAGGTCGTCTGAGAGTCGTGCAACACCCAACACATCTCAGGTCGTCTGGGAGTCGTTCATCACCCAACACATCTCAGGTCGTCTGGGAGTCGTACATCACCCAACACATCTCTGGTCGTCTGGGAGTCGTGCAACACCCAACACATCTCAGGTCGTCTGAGAGTCGTTCATCACCTAACACATCTCAGGTCGTCTGGGAGTCGTACGTCACCCAACACATCTCAGGTCGTCTGAGAGTCGTACAACACCCAACACATCTCAGGTCGTCTGGGAGTCGTTAATCACCCAATACATCTCAGGTCGTCTGGGAGTCGTTCATCACCCAACACATCTCAGGTCGTCTGAGAGTCGTGCAACACCCAACACATCTCAGGTCGTCTGGGAGTCGTTCATCACCCAACACATCTCAGGTCGTCTGGGAGTCGCACATCACCCAACACATCTCAGGTCGTCTGGGAATCGTTCATCACCCAACACATCTCAGGTCGTCTGAGAGTCGTGCAACACCCAACACATCTCAGGTCGTCTGAGAGTCGTACGTCACCACAATGTTCTTTTGTGATCGACTCAAATTAATAACGTTAGAAGCTACGTTGGTTTATGTTCATGTTATTAATTACATCTGAGCCGGTGGCAGATGGCAGCCAATGAGAAGGCAAGGGGCAGATGGCAGCCAATCAGAAGGCAGGAAGCAGATGGCAGCCAATAAGAAGGCAGGGAGCAGATGGCAGCCAATCAGAAGACAGGGAGCAGCTGGCAGCCAATAAGAAGGCAGGGAGCAGGGGTACCAACTTAGACCAGCACTATATATCCCCCAGTGTGAAGATGGTCTCAGTGTGAAATCACCAAAGAAAGGTCTTCGAGGCAGGCTTGACGAATGAGTTCAACAGTAGGTATATATGACAAGAAGCAAAATGGGTATTATATGGAGTTATATTTTAAGCAATATATAAATACCCTTATATAGAAATATCCCTATAAATACCAATATAGAAATATAATACCTTTATATTATAGGGTATTATATTTCAAGCAACATTGGATAACAGAAAGGCGCGACCCAGGAACTAGAGCTCACTCGGCCACGACATATGAGCACGTATAGGTGAACACACACAGCCACACACACACACACTGTGTGTGTGGAAGGGGCTGGTGGCCGAGTGGACAGCACGCTGGATACGTACTCCTGTGGTCCGGAGTTCGATTCCCGGCGCCGACGGAAATAAATGGGCAGTCATTTTCACCCTGATGCCTCTGTTATCTAGCAGTAAATTGGTACCTGGGAGCTAGACAACTGTTACGGGCTGCTTTCTGTCTGTGTGTGTGGTGGGGGGGGGGGGAATAGTTAGTTAGTAGTTAGAAACAGTTGATTGACAGTTGAGAGGCGAGCCAAAAGAGCAAAGCTCAACCCCCGCAAGCACAACTAGGTGAATACAACTAGGTGAATATACACATAGTGTATACACACTCTTCATAGTGTATAACAAATCCCTGGTAAAAGGGAAACTGCCAAAATCTTGGAAGACGGCTAATTTAGTCCCGATATACAAGAAAGGGGATAGACAGGAGGCACTGAACTACAGGCCAGTGTCCCTAACCTGCATACCATGCAAGCTGATGGAGAAGATTGTGCGAAAAAAGCTAGTGGAACATCTGGAGCGAAAGAACTTTGTAACACAGCATCAATATGGGTTCAGGGATGGCAATTCCTACCTTACAGGATTTATTGAATTCTACGACCAGGCAACAAAAATCAGGCAAGAGAGAGAGAGGGCTGGGCTGACGGCATATCTTTGGATTGCCAGAAAGCCTTTGACACAGTACCACACAAGAGGCTAGTGCAAAAGCTGGAGATGCAGGCAGAAGTGAAAGGGAAGGTACTCCATTGGATAAGATAACCAAAGCAACAGAAGACAGCGAGTCATAGTGAGGGGTGAGGATTCAGATTGGTGAGACGTCACCAGTGCAGTCCCGCAGGGGTCAGTCCTTGGACCTATACTGTTTCTGATATATGTAAATGATCTCCCAGAGGGTATAGAATCGTTCCTCTCAGTGTTTGATGATGATGCAAAAATTATGAGGAGGATTAAGAGAGAGGAAGATGGTATGAGGCTACAAACAAACTGAATGAATGGTCCAACTAATGTCTACTAAAGTTCAACCCGAGTAAATGTAAGATAATGAAACTAGGCGGTGGAAACAGGAGGTCAGACACAGGATACGGAATGGGAAATGAAATCCTTCATGAAACGGACAGAAAGATAGATCTAGGAGTTGATATCACACCAAACCTGTCTCCTGAAGCCCACTTAAAAAAAATTCATCGGCGGCGTATGCAAGGCTGGCTAACATCAGAACTGCCTTCAGGAACCTGTGCAAGTAATCATTCAGAACCTTGTATACCACATATGTAAGAGCAATCCTGGAGTATGCGGCCCCAGCATGGAGCCCGTATCTTGTCAAGCACAAGACGAAGCTGGAAAAAGTTCAGAGGTATGCTACTAAACTAGTCCAAGAACTAAGAGGCATGAGTTACGAGGAAAGACCGCGTGAAATGCACCTCACGACTCTGGAAGACAGAAGATTAAAAGGAGACATGATCACTACCTACAAAATTCTAAGAAAATTCTAAGAGAAAATTCTACCTCTGACAGGGTAGATATACATAAACAGTTTAACACGGGGATGTACACGAACAAGGGGACACAGGTGGAAACTGAGTACCCAAATAAGCAAGAGGGACGTTAGAAAGAACTTTTTCAGTGTCAGAGTAGTTAACAGTGGAATGTATTAGGCAGTGATGTGGTGGAGGCTGACTCCATACACAGTTTCAAGTGTAGATATGATAGAGCCCAATAGGCTCAGGAATCTGTACACCAGTTGACTGACAGTTGAGAGGCGGGACTAAAGAGCCAAAACTCAACCCCCGCAAGCCAAACTAGTTGAGTACAACTTGGTGAACACATATACACACACACACACACACACACACACACACACACACACACACCACACACACACACACACACACACACACACACACACACACACACACACACACACACACACACACACTCACACACACACACACACACACACACACACACACACACACACACACACACACACACACACACACACACACACACACACACACACACACACACACACACACACACACACACACACACTCACACACACACACACACACACGCACGCAAGAGTTACATGGGTGAGAGTGTTGACACACCGAGTCAGTGATATCCATTTACTAGCGTCAGTGATGAGGATGTTAAGGGCGGCCCTCCCCGCCCCCCGTGTCACGTGACACCCGCCTCCCTCACGCCCGGGGGAACATTGTTCTTTCATCCCTGTGTGTGGCCCTCCCAGGAGGCGTGGCCCTCCCAGGAGGCGTGGCCCTCCCAGGAGGCGTGGCCCTCCCAGGAGGCGTGGCCCTCCCAGGAGGCGTGGCCCTCCCAGGAGGCGTGGCCGCTCCCAGGAGGCGTGGCCCTCCCAGCAGGCGTGGCAGCTCCCAAGAGGCGTGGCAGCTCCCAGGAGGCGTGGCCCTCCCAGGAGGCGTGGCCCTCCCAGGAGGCGTGGCCAACCCAGGAGGCGTGGCCAACCCAGGAGGCGTGGTCCTCCCAGGAGGCGTGGCAGCTCCCAGGAGGCGTGGCAGCTCCCAGGAGGCGTGGCAGCACCCAGGAGGCGTGGCCCTCCCAGGAGGCGTGGCAGCTCCCAGGAGGCGTGGCAGCTCCCAGGAGGCGTGGCAGCTCCCAGGAGGCGTGACCCTCCCAAGAGGCGTGGCAGCTCCCAGGAGGCGTGGCAGCTCCCAGGAGGCGTGGCCCTCCCAGGAGGCGTGGCAGCTCCCAGGAGGCGTGGCAGCTCCCAGGAGGCGTGGCAGCTCCCAGGAGGCGTGGCAGCTCCCATGACTGGTACGTCATCACACTGATGACCAGAGCGGTATGGGCCGTGGCGTGTGGGAAGCGGTAGGGGGTATTTTAATGTCTCTGTGACTCATTCGGGTCCTCAGTGGCCCTCTATATCCATTTGTTAAATGATCTAGTGTGGTGTTCTCTGCATATTCCACTGAATTTTTTGTATGTGGTGATCATGTCTCCCCTAGCATTTTTTCTGTTCCACTGATGCAAGATTTAATTACTTCTATCTGTCCTCGTAACTCATACCTCTCAGCTCTGGTTCGGTCTGCTGGCCTCGGTCTGGATGCGCACCTATGACCGAACACACACATGGACCTGAACAATCAATCGTTCAATAATTTGCCCACGAGACGAACATTGTAATTGGAAGAATGTCTATAATCTCCTATAGGGACTGGATAGGGATACTTAAAAAGATATATTGGATATAGAGAACGTGGATAAACATCTAAAAAAGTCGATATGGGACTTTTTTGGTCTGGATAAACATCTAAAAAAGCCGATATGGGACTTTTTTGGTCTTTATAAGCATCTAAAAAAGCCGATATGGGACTTTTTTGGTCTTTATAAGCATCTAAAAAAGCCGATATGGGACTTTTTTGGTCTGGATAAGCATCTAAAAAAGTCGATATGGGACTTTTTGGTCTGTATAAACATCTTAAAAAAAAAGCCGATTCTACTTTAAACTTCACAGCGTGTCTGACTTTTGCACAGCTGCTCCACTATAATATATAAAGAGTCACGTTGCAGAGTTTTGCACTTGCAGGAGCTCTAAATGTCCGGGTGACGGCTGGCGGGGTCTGGAAGACATGCATGTGGTCCAGTCGTGTCGCAAATTGTTGCATACGAACTATAGAGCAATCTGAGACTGCAGTACACAGCCTGGTGGAATCTGAGAAGCCTGGAAGTGGATTGGTGGATACTGGAAGAACTGAGCGAGAACTGGTGGATACTGGAAGAACTGAGCGAGAACTGGTGGATACTGGAAGAACTGAGCGAGAACTGGTGGATACTGGAAGAACTGAGCGAGAACTGGTGGATACTGGAAGAACTGAGCGAGAACTGGTGGATACTGGATACTGGAATTGGGAATTTTATAACTAAACTAATGAGGATTGGGCATGGATATGCGGAATGTGGAATGACTGGAGACGTCTGGTTGAATTTCTGGAGACGTCTGGTTGAATGACTGGAGACGTCTGGTCGAATGACTGGAGACGTCTGGTCGAATGACTGGAGACGTCTGGTTGAATGACTGGAGACGTCTGGTCGAATGACTGGAGACGTCTGGTCGAATGACTGGAAACGTCTGGTCGAATGACTGGAGACGTCTGGTCGAATGACTGGAGACGTCTGGTCGAATGACTGGAGACGTCTGGTCGAATGACTGGAGACGTCTGGTCGAATGACTGGAGACGTCTGGTCGAATGACTGGAGACGTCTGGTTGAATGACTGGAGACGTCAGGTTGAATGACTGGAATGGAACTATGGCACGGGTTAGTCGATATATTGTGAGAGCAGGTTCGAGATTTCTGGGGGTTACACCATCTGAAGGGTGAGTAAGGGGTTAAGGGGTTAAGTAAGGGTGGGTAATAACTCAAAATGGAAAAAAAAAATAGGGTCACAGTTTGGAAAATAGCCTTAAATTTTGTAATGATTCTGTGTCCCAAAAAGTTTTATAGCAGCCTTCGCTGAGTTTGTAACTATTCACGGACGTTGAGATAGAGAAAGCGCTCGTTATCGTTGTTAAACATTTGTTAACTGGAAGAAAAAGTTCCAAGTAGCACGGGCTATGGTGAGCCCGTGAAGCGCTCGTTTAGGAGACAAAACAACTAGATAGTTACTGAGTACACGGAGGTTGCTGACTTTCATCAAGTAATAGTTCGTATTAATTGCAACAGACGCTCCTGAGAATCCAATTCACAAACTTATCTGCAACTTGGAGTGAACCACAGGCAAGTTTGTGCACTTGCAAGTCTCTGCACTCATCAAATTGGTATTAGTTCTTAAGAGCAAGCAAGACTGGAACCGGAGCCTATTATACTTTCCAAATTCCCGAGACATAAGTAAAGTTACAAAGAACAATGGTTTTCATTGCTGTGTTGTTGTATTTTTACTTTCTTTACTCTATTCAATCCTTCATTCCTATTTCTTTCTTCAGATTTTCCCTTCCCCTCGACTCTGTCACTCTCTCTCCTCCTTAAACACGTAAGACAAAAAAGGAAAATAAAACATGAAATACCTAAACTCATTCGAGCAAATTTCAACACATGCCGAGAAATAATAATAATATGCATAAAATAGCAGCATATGTAGACATGGCAGCATGGTGAGAGAACACGGAGTCTCGCTGGGATTACTGGGCAACTAATCCCATTGGTAAGTCGTGTATGAAAGGCAAAATAAAAAGAGTTAATATATGAGAGTTTGTGTTTTCTCACGTAATCTGCCACGGCCCTTTGCCTGTGTTCATATGTTCATATGATGAAGTTTTTATATATTTTTTTGTCACTGCTTTTCCAGGATGTGTTGAAATTCGTATATATATATATATATATATATATATATATATATATATATATATATATATATATATATATATATATATTGTGACGGTAAAGTGTTGGAGTGTTTGATGTTCGGCAGTCCTCCAATGGCTGGTGGCAATGCCTTGTCACATTTACAGAAAAAAAAGAGACTGCTTGCCTGTTTTGTCTGTGGTAAGGTAATGGGAAGACACACAAAACACAAAATATAAACAATGAAATTTTAATTACTTTAGAAAACAAGATATGAACAAAGACAATCCCTTGGCTTACGTAAAATTCAAATCAGTCAACAACAAACCAACATGAATAATAATAGGTGTGAAATTTACTCTAAAACAAAATGAAGTGCAAGATAATAATAATATTAATCAGGTGCTGAGAATACTGGCTAAAGCTGCCACCTCCCTTAGTACACGACAGCCAGGGCTTAGTCTACCAGAGAGAT